CGAGGTCAAAAAATTTGTTAATAGACTTTTTATCTAAGTTGACCTCAGAAATAACAACAGAAAGCCCGGACCAAGTCTTAGTAGAAAGCTGACATACAAAAGCATCGAAGACAAGCTCATAGGACAGATCATAAAAAAAGTAACTTGGAAGACTTCGATCATGGTATATCTGACTACGAGAACATTATTAGAAGATAAAATTTGAGCTAAAACACTAATAAAAAAGGCTTTTTGGTACATGTTGATTAAGAAAAAATTTTATAGAAGGTTCTTTAGCCTACCTTATCTAAGATGTGTTGATTAAGAAGAGGCAAATTATGTCCTACAAAAAATTCATGAAGAAATATGTGAAAACCACCTCGAATCTCAACCACTAGCATACAAAATGCTTAGGTAAGGTTATTATTGGCCCACTATCCAAAGGGACATAACCAAACTGGTAAAGAGATGTGATAAATGTCAAAACTTTGCTCACATGCAACATCTCCCCTAGATTGAGTTCACCCTTATCATTAGCCCTGACCTTTCATGCAGTGGGAAATAGACGTCTTTAAACCATTTTCTCTGATTAAGAGTTAGAAAAAATTCGTCTTAGTAGCAATAGATTACTTCATGAAATGACTTGAGCCAAGACTTTGGCCACTACTACAAAGGCCCAAGTCAAGAAATTTATGTAGAAGAATATAGTCTGTAGATTTGGTTTACCTCAGTTTCGAATAATAAACAACAGTAAACAATTCAAAAATCTAAAATTTAAGAAATGATGTTCAAACCTTCACATTGACCTTAAATTCATATTGGTTACCCATTCTCAGTCTAATAGGTAAACTGAAGCTGCGAACAAGACAATATTAGAAACCCTAAAAAAGAGACTTAATGCAGCAAAAGAGAAATAGGCTAATGAGCTACTAGGGATGCTATAGGTCTTAAGGACAACCATGAATGTACCATCTGGTGAAATCCTATTCCACTTGGCATTTGAAATAGAAACGCGGTACCTATTGAGATCAGCCTTCTTAGTTTGAGAGTTGAATTAGAGTTAAAAGAAAAAAAATTAAAAAGCACTTAGGACCGACTTAAACTTCATCGAAGAATAAAGGGATATAGCCTTAACATAGATAGCAACTTATCAATAAAAGGTGAAAAATTATTATAATAAAAAGGTCAGACATAAGCAGATAAAAAAAAGTGACCCGATACTTAAAAAATTTGAAACCTCAGGAGTAGATGACTGAGGTAAAAAATTAGTACCCACTTAGAAAAAGACTATATGTAGTTAAAAAGATTGTCCATGACTCAACTTATAAGCTATAGGAGATGAATGGTAACATTATCCTAAAGACATGAAATGCAGATAATGTAAAGGTTTACTTTTAATAGCTTGATATAAGCCGAGCTCACTTTTGTATATTATACTTGAATGCAAAAAATTAAACTATGCTCAATGAGCTTATGCCTAACCGATCTAACAAAATCTAACCTTGAACTTAGATGGATTCTTAAGTTAATTTAAACAAAGTGATTACATAAATCTTCAGTTCAGTTAATCAGGCTTAAATTTTTTTAATTAACCGTGCTTAAACTTGTGTAAATAAAGAAAAAATTATAATAGAATTAAGCTAAAACTTTGACTGAACTAAATAAATAAATTTTTTATATTTCATTTCTCTTAAGTACAAAGTTATTTGTCAGACAGGTCATCAAAATTTAAGGTCATTACAAAAATCGACCTCATATATTAACAAAAAATTTACAAAAGTTAAAAATAAAAAAGAATCATGTGTCAGCAACATCAATAGGAGTAGCATCCCCATCAACCGGAGCAACAACGATGACTTCAACCTCTTCTACTTCGTCCCTAGCACCTAAAGTGATCTCGAGCTCAACGTCTATGGCCTTATCATCCTCCTCTCTTCCTCTTTTTTTCCCCTTTTTTTTCTCTTTGGGCTGATTTAGAAAAGACGTTGATTTGATATTATTGATATCAATATCAGAGAGGTCAAGATTAAAGGTGGAGAATTTAAATAATTACTCATCATTGGCCAATTGAAAGGCACCGAACATGTTTATCCTGCAAAACTGCACCTTCATTTGGAGGTATTCATTGGAAATCTTAAATTTTCCATAGCTTGGATCTTCAGCTCTTCTTCCCTCTTCTCATTGGCTTCTAGTTCAAACCTTAGCTTTACTATCTCAGCCTAAGCATCTTTGAGCTTGAGATCGACCTGCTCTTCTATGGACTCAACTCTTCCTACGAGTATAGTTCAAAGTTTTATCTCGATCTGATAGATCCGAAATAGAAAGAGCCACCAATGCATCCATAAAAGTGCCAGATATACTTCTTATCTCTCAAGCCTCAACCTTGGGAGTAACCTTAACCCAAGACTCACATTTTTTTATATTTTTTACTTTTTGAAGCAAAGAAAGAGCAGCTTTCAATTTTTTATTAAACTCGAACAATCGATAAATAATTTTTTATTAGGTCGAGCTATTATGTAATACCACATATTATCACTGAGGTATTTTTTGAAAGAAAAAATTCCCTGAATAGGAGAAAAGAAAAGAGAATATTTAAATGTTGGCAAAAAATGATGAAGGTAACTATGTACCATACAAAATTAGGAGCGAGTTGAGTGATAGTTAAATTATAAGAATTAAAAATTGAAACAAATAAAGATTAAAATGGAAACCTTAGACTGACCACAAAAGAATCTCAATATATATAAAACCGGTGTGACTACACTTTATCAGTGATCCAATTTGAGAAGTTTGATATTATTATACTTTACCCCTCTCTGGAAAAAAAGAAAATCGTCTCTAGAGCGTGAACGTAATGATCTGAACATATGTTATTACAGTTTTCAAGATTTACCCTACCCTTTAATTCACTTATCACATCCTTGGAGATTATGTCGAGGTCACAGAGAGTATATATAAAAACCTGGACCAGTTCATCTTGCTCTATAGGATTTCTTCCTCGACGTTATTTTTCCCGACCAAGGTATTCCCTTCATCTTGTTCCTCATCGGAACCTTCTCATCAAAATCTTAACTGTCTAAAGACTCTGACTCGTAAGAAGAACCAGGATTCTGAGGTGGAACTGTGGTTGAGACAACTCAACTCCAAAGGAAGAAAGACGAGTGACGAGGTAGAGACCTTTTAGGAAAGGAAGAGATCTCGACAAAAATTGACTAGGGTGGAATAGAAGTGACAACGAAAGCATTAATGGGGGAATGAGTAGAAGTAAAAGAAAATTGATGTGACTGAACCCTAAAAGGGAGAACAACTGAAGATGAAAAAAATTGACCATAAAAGATATATCAACTTGAGAAACAAAGAAATGTGGTGGATTTTGTAAGTCAAAGTCTATCTGAACACATAGCTTTTTCATACTAAAGGCATGTTCTCCTCATACCTGAGCATTTTTTTTTGTTTCATTATTGCTTTTTCTCAAACATTGAGTTAAACCATAAGGCCATCTTTTCACAATTATGATTCTCGATGAATGGTGGAATCAAATCATCGTCGTCTCGCTTGTGCTAACCTCTCTTAGGTTCTATTTGATAACTTTTGGCCTCCTCAGAACTTACACTATAAGGCATAGTTAAGAATACGTTCCGAAAAAAATGTAGAAAAAGTTAAGGCAAAAAATTTTAGATTAAATTAAGAGCCAAGAAAGTAGAAAGGTGAAAAACTAGAGCCCCAACACTCTTTTATATATCTGTGCAATAAATCAGGGGAATGGCACAGATCGTACCACTTATCTGAGTGAAAATGGGTAGACGTCTCTTTGTCTTGTCTAAATTTTTTCGTTCAAACTACCTCTCTTCTGATTTAATGATGTCAGATCGTCTGGATTGCATAAACCCTAGCTCAGACCAACCAGACTGAACAACTCTTTAGAATGAACTGGATGCCCAACTCATTGCCAGAGTTCAAAATAAAGGCTTAAACTTAAACTCCTAAACTAAAACACAAGTCTCACGTTGACTAAATGAGCTCCACTACTAATTTCAAATCACTCCGAACAATTTATGTCTTGACAACTTTTAAGTCGGCCATGCACTCAACTCAAGACATGCGCACAAGATTAGATCCTTACCAAATCAGACCACAATTTACGACTATTTATCTTTCGATACCGACCTTTTCCATGACATCTACTTTGAAGAATCAAATTCCACATCATTTTTTCCCACTTACCCTACATCGGATATATCGATCAAATATCTAGCAGCCTGAAACTCAGATTGCTTGGCGGAGAGACAGATTGTTAAGGGCATTTGATGATCAAAAGGGCATAGTAATTTTTTTTTCTTTTACAAACCTTCAGCAGACAACAAATGGTATTTCTATCATTGCACTAACCTGACATGTCAAGTCGATCTGACATACTTAGTGTTACATTAGTTTGGCATTGTTCTTATTATCCCCTGATAGTCCCCTATTGCTTACCTATAAATATGAAAGTTTAAGCACCACTACAATAAATTGATCCTAAACCCATTTCCTCCTTCTTACTTTCTTCTTGACCTCAATTTGTCTAATTTGCATGTCGAAGTACAAACGTAAGAAACACACCCTATCTTTGGCTCTTCTTGCCTTTCTCTTTTATCTTTATTGGAATGCCTTGAAGTCGAAACTCGGCACATACAATTATCATTGCTTAATTCGTTCTTATGAAAAGGAAAAACTTAAGTGAAATTCCTGAAGTTCTCCATTGAAAATGAGTTAACGAAAACTGAATATAAAATTTAAAGCCTTCCGATCAATATAACTAAATGAGTAGATCAATAATATGCAAATAGTTAGTTGAAACTAATATTTATACACAAAATTGGATTGTTGATGAGCAATGGTATTTTATCATAATATTTAGTTAAATCACCCATTTTAAATAAAAATATTAAAGTTATCATTTTCTTAAGTTCTTGTAGGTATATAATCTATTTAATAAGCTCTATCAATATGTCTACTTGGATTTTCAATTTTAGGTATAACTTGATTGCTATGAATTGGGTTCCTCGGTTCACAAATGTCATCTACAGAACTCTACTAGATCTTGTCTTGTCTCCTCCTTTGGAGGTTAAGATTTAAAGTTTGAATTCTATTTTTCCCTTGGCTTCCTCAAATGTACCCCAAGAAAACAAAAAAAAAAAGAGCAATTGCCTTTAAAATAGGGCTTGTAACTTTGAAGCTTATTGTTTTTGTTAGGGCTAGTAATTTTTTAGTCAATTTTTGTTTACCTGTTTTATACTGGCAGGCTCCCGGTGCGGATGATGATGATGATGACTTGGATCTATTTGGTGATGAGACGGAGGAGGACAACAAGGCAGCAGAGGAGAGGGAAGCTTGGAAAAAGTCAGCAAAGAAGAAAGAGAGTAAGTATTTGTGTTGATTAAAATAATTTATCCTTTCCAATTTCATATGTAGGATGCATTGTTTTGCTGCTTTGATTGTTGTATTCTTTTGACATTTGTTGATTCTTGCAGGTGGAAAGTCTTCTGTACTTATGGATGTTAAACCATGGGATGATGAGACTGACATGAAGAAATTGGAAGAATCTATTCGATCTGTTGAGATGCCTGGGTTTTTTTCGGGAGCATGTATGTTTTTGTTTTAATTTGTATTATTTTAAACGTGTCAAAACAATGAGCACTTACAATGGTTTTCCTAATATTTTTATTTTACCAGTAAATGATGGTTTAATCGGTTAAGCTCATGCTTTTTTATGAAAAGATTTTAGGTTCGGGTCTTACGATGGTCACTTGTTAGAGTTATATTGAATGTACGATTTGCAGTCATTTATCTTAGACTATCAGATACGATACATCTTACTTTAATCTGAAGGACTGAACGATTTATTTACCCTTAATTTTTCTTTAAAAAAAAAATATTTCTATTTTTTGCGTTAATTTTGTGCAGCAAAACTGGTTCCTGTCGGCTATGGCATTAAGAAGCTCCAGATCATGCATACTATAGTGGACGATCTTGTTTCTGTTGATACCCTTGTAGAGGATCACCTCACAGCGGAGCCCTGCAAAGAATATGTTCAGAGTTGTGACTTGCCTCGAACGAAATTTAAACGACTTTTTATTTTACAGCCTTTAGAGTTAGCCAACTTTAGCCACGTTATCGACCTTTTGTCCCTTGTTTTTCCCCCCATATTATTTTTGTTTGGCCTGTGCTTGCTACTGCTTCTGCTCTAGATTGAGGAGATGTAGAGATAAGTACTTCATGATGTTTTACTGAAGTGATATTCTGGTATAATGTTCAATGTTTTGATTCGGTTTAAGTTTGTCCAATAACGGGTAAGTGACATTGCAGATTTCATAAGCTATTTAACTATAGATGGAAATGGAATCTTTGATGGCCGTTTTGGATCTTCTTTTCTAAGAAATTAATGTTTTATTAAGCAATTACAGCTTTGTATGGAGTAATGCACAGCTTATATGGTATTATATTTAATTAATATATAATTATTAAAACTAACTGATTGTTGCATAAATTATTTGTTAATAACATTAAAAACGAAAATTTGTTCCAAGTTTTAATGTTGTTACAGCTTTTTAAGATTGCTGATTATGTCATTTTAGACTTCATTATTTGAATGGACGGTGGGGGGATTTTTATAGCACCAAAGTTTTGGGCGGGCGGTGAGAGAGCTCGTCTCTCCAAAATTGTCATTTTGCTACTGAATCCCCCAAATGAAGCATTATTAAGTAACTTGGTGCTTTTCATCCCACCAATTGCACACCACAATCCTACCAATTCCAAGTGAAGGAATAAAAAATATGTTAGTACATAAGTTTTGCATCACTTGACCAATAAGAAAAATCTTGTCTTCACCAGAGCTTTCCTAGTTTCCTGTCCTACAAACAACAAAGTGAGGAATAGATAAGGATGCTTGGCTTTGGAATTAACAATGCATGCAGATACAGAGAAATAATTTAGAATTATCACTAGATAAAAACATTTGAACCGATCATGTTTTGTACCAAAACAGTCAATAGAATCTTTTCTTGATTTCAGTTTTGGAATATACCATACAATCACATGTCGAATCAACTGCCACTGTTAGTTGACTTGTTTAGGGAATGAAAAATCACCTTTCAGTATTTTCCTACCCAAGTTTTTTGCAACTAGAGTTTCAAGCCAACTGTGATTATCGACAAAACTACCAGAACCACCCCATTGATCTTTATCTTGTGCTGTTTCTTTCTTTTTCCCTCCGAAGATGACTATAAACTTGTTATAGCAAAGAATGATGGGGAGATAGCTGTAAAACAATGGAAGGTCAAAGGGTAATGGTGATCCAAGATGCATCTAAAGAAGTTTGTTCAAGTGCCATTAGATGGGTACTTCACGGCCTATGTCTCAAACCTGGAGATCAGATTGTTCTCCTAGGAGTTCTTCATGAGGTTATCGATCCTAGAACGTTATCTTTTAAGGGAACGAGGAAGCTCTGTAAGCCTTCATCCCTTTCAAAATTATGAGATCATTTATCAATTTGCTTGTTCGAATTTATTCAATTCAAAATGACTTTTCTACTCTTTTTATAGTGGGATACAGAAACAAAGTGGACTTCACCGAAAAGTTTGGAGCAAACCACAGAATTGTTGACAGGAAAGAGGCAAGGAAGCAGGAGTATGAGAACAATGCTGAAATAATGGAGATATCAAAGCTTTGCAAAGCAGAAAAGGTAACGGTCAGCCAAGATAAGTATTGATGTAAAACTATTCGAGTTAATCAATATCTTGCATTTCAACCAAAAGAAAGAAAAGGGGTAATCACAGGCTACTGCCAATCACTCCATTTATTGAGAGTCTAATTCTCCAACAGAAATGAAGTTGTATTACTTAAAGTTTTCATTGTATTTTATCTAAAAGTTAATGAGCTAATGAGAGATCATCATTGATATCTCAGGTTGAATTTAGGATAGAAGTGGCTGCAGGAGCTTCACCAGCAGTTGTGGCTATGAAATCAGCAGAAAACTTAAAGGCAACATGGGTAATTTTAGACAGGTTTGGCAAAAATCAAATCAGGATGAGAAAATTGCATTAGCTTGCAGTGTTTATAGAAAGAAGATGAAATGAAACTACCGCAAGGTTTAGATTTAGATTCTCTAAAGGCATAGCTAAATAGATTGTAAATAGATTGTTTAATAAAAGCAGCCTGCAATAGCCCTGTTAAATGTTGATCCAAAAAGATCATTTATGAAACAGGAAGATGAAGAAAAACAAGAAGATCTTTCAGGAAAGGCTTTCATGTGGGATATCCAGGATGAAAAGGAATAATAGCATCAAGCTGTTGAGGGAACCAAGAACAAAATTCGATGTAACTTATGATATCATGATGCAAGGGCCCCCGGAAGAAGAAGATCTTTTCAGCATTGAACTTTTCCCAACATGTAAGATAAATTGTGGCAAATTCTACTTTTATGTTTCCTAGATTGTTTTTCCAAAAAGATGGGATATTCCAACAGCTATAAATTTTGATAATGATGTGTAGGTCAAGCAGAAGGTAATCAAGTGAGTCAAAATGAGAAACTTACACACAACAGCAGTTCTGCAGATTCAAATATAAGGCTGCAAGCTGAGGACACTTTTGGAAATCCAGCATGCACCATTTGTGATAATAGAATACAAAATATTGAATGGAGAAAAGATTACACATATCTGGAACTCCATGCTGCTACAGATGGATTCTCATCAAAAAACAATATATCAGAAGGTGGTGTTGAATATACTTTCAGAGGTCAGCTAGAGAATAAGCTGAATATTGTGATTAAACCAGCAAATAACAATATATACTTCCAAGAACCAATGAAATTCAAGTCAGAAATAGATATACTCAGCAGAGTTAGACACAAGAACTTGGTCATGCTGCTAGGATGCTGTGCAGAAGGAAGTCATAGGCTGCTTGTATACGAGTATGTCTGTAATGGTTCACTAAATCAACATTTATCAAGTAAGGAGAAACATATGGAAAAAATATTCTGGATTAGATTTTTTATTTGGAACAAAATATATACTTGGCATTATACACAAGGTTCAAAGCTAATATATACAAATGGTGCCATGTGAAGCAGAATGTCAGCCTATGCCATTGAGTTGGACAAAGAGGGTAAAAGTAGCACTTGGTGCATCCAGAGGTCTAAACCATCTACATCAAAACAACATCATTCACAAAGATATTAGATCAAGTAACATTCTTCTAAACTATGATTTTGAACCACTGGTAATGACTTGAATCTAGATGTCATATGCATACTATGTTGACCTTAATATACTAATCTGAAATTTCATTTTAAATGTTACAATATTTTTTGTTAGCTTGGAGATTTCGGCCTAGCAACAATGCGGTCAGATCAGTTCTTGAAGCAGGAGAATATTCAGACATCTAGGTATTCGGCTCCAGAATATCTTGAGAATGGGACAGTGTCTACTAAGACAGATGTGTACTCATTCGGTGTGGTTCTACTCGAGCTGATAACTGGGCAGAAGACCATGGATGAGAAGCTGGGCCAGCAAGGCTTTTTGACATGGGTAATATGCAAAACACTATAATCATACATTCTTTTCTGATTTTCTACAGGCAACCCCCAGAAAAAAGAGGGTTTGTTAAGTTGCATTCTGTTCTGATATTCTACAGGCAAGAACACTTCTCAAACAAAGGAGGTACTTAGAGCTAGTTGATCCCAGAATTGCTAATTCCCATAACGTCTTCCAGCTTTACAGGATTGCCCAACTGGCACAAAAATGTCTAAGCAAAAATCCCAAGAAAAGATTATCCATGGATAAGGTAAACCTCATGCCATTCCAAGCAAAATCTAATTACAAATAAATGGTAAAACAATATTACGCTACGCATTGCCTCCATCCGGAACCAGAAAAGAACAAAAATATTGAAAATAATCATTGACATTAAACTCGATCTTAACTTTAACGAAAGATCCTAGAAGTTTATGTTATACATGATTTGATTTGGGGAAGGGATCTTTGAGCAAAGGTATATACAAGTGTCACGAGTCCACATTTTCAATCCAAAATACATGTCGATTAGGTGGAGAAAGACGCCCAAGACCATCCTTTCTCTTTGATTTATGACGTAATCTTTCATCCAAATATGTAATGCTTTCGTTGCATTGGTTTTCTAATTCACAAAAGAAAAGAACCCATTTTCGGTCCAAGCCTACTTCGACCCTAGTATCTCTCCTATCCCCACATCCGTGAAGAATTGGATCTTCTGTGATACAACTTTTCACGGTCCACGTGTTCAACCCAAAAAGAAGAGCCATGACTTTTAAAATCCAAACCACTCCTCTTTTACAAACGTAGGAATTCGTGACACATGCACCGAGTGTAATCTACAAATTAAATAATTTTAAATTTATTCAAATATTAAAATTATTTAAATTATAATTAAAAATCAAATCTAGAGATATATTTTTTAAAATTAAAAATATGAAATATAAATTTTTTTAATAAATAATTTTAGTTGTTTATCAAATAATTTTATTTAAAAAATTATTTAATTATTAAAATCTTGTAAATATGTTTAAAAATTATAAAGATTAGTTTATTTAAATCATTCAATAATATTTTTTATCTTGATTTAAAAAATTTACATAAGACATTAAAAATTTAAGCAACTTTATGTAATATTTTGAAATTTCAAAAAATTTTCATCTTAAATTTTTAAATAATAAAATAATCAAAACTATTATATTTATTTGAACTCTAATTATCAAATTTATAGTTCAAATAAATACAAAAAATTTAATATTATTTTTATCAATTATTATATCCATTTTAAATTTTAAAAAATTAATTTAAAATTTATCCATTTAATCTTATTTGCCATTAAAGAATTCTTTTCAAAATTTAATACTATAAATGTAATATGTTATACATCAATTTTTTTATTTTTTTAGTAATTTTTTTCAAGGTATATTCTATTACTATTGCAATTTATTTTTTTTTTGTTTATAATTTCTTTTAAGATATATTTTATTATTATTACAGTTTCATTTTTACAAAAGATAACAATTTTTTAATTTATTTTTTCCTTTTTCATGTATTTTTTAACATTTTTCATATTTTGCATAATAATTCATTCAAGATTATTAAAGTGAAAGTATGTTAATATTTTTTTTATTATATAATTTATCATTCAATAAAATATATTTTTATTTTTTTAATAAATGCATAATTTATTTTTATTTGATATAATCTTACAAGTATATAAATATTATTATAAACAAAAATATCTAAAAGAAAGACAAATTTTTTCTTGATGTTTTCAAAAACTTGTTTTTTTAATGACAAATATATATATATATATATATAGATATATATTTTATATATATTATGAGTTTGAAAGATTTGAATATAATTTGAAAAGAAATTAATTTATGTATATATATATATATATTCATATTAAATAAATAAAATTATTTTGTACATCTACTAGTTATAATCTAGTTGTATATATGTTGACTGCTATTACCATGTTTCAGGTGGTTTCTACTCTTGAAGACATAACAGAATGCAAACCAAGAATTTTAAATAAAGATCATCGTCCATTAAAATCATATTTGCCATACAATTGTGTGAAGACAGTCGAACCAGAAAGTTGTTACGAAGATGTGGATGTGAGAAGTCAGATGAGAAGTAGATCTTTACCGGCAAACGTTTGCACATGCCACAGCTTTCGTAATGATCGAAAAACCTATAGACTTGTGAGAGCAAGAACAGAAAGCGCAAGTCAAGTGCATTATTGAGAAATGCTCAACTGAATCATTCAAACTAATCAATCTCTCACTTTTATCGTATTGCTCTTTTCTTCTATCGTTTTTATCCTCTACTTCTCCAAAAACAATTCACTTATTGCCAACTTTTTTTCTTCTAATTTAATATGTAAATTAAATGTAATTCTCACATTTCCTTATACAATAAAATCGTACTTTTTTGGCAATCCTGGAAAGCAGCAGTAGTAACAAACACAACCAAGACAATATCTAAAAGATACCAAATCAAAATTTCCAAGCATGCAAAGTCAAGGTAGAATGCTCTCTCAGCAACAATTCTCATCTGAATCATTCAACGAGGTCACTATAGCATACAATTAGTTCACTGCCGAGAAACCAAAGAGAGGACAGACGACGTAATTTTCATGAAAATGTTTGTCAATCCAAATGTTGATACACTGAAAATATCATAACATCCAGAAAACCTTCACAAACAGAGGGGTTGTGAAAGCTAAGACAACAAATCTCCCACAAATTCACTCATTGCGCAAAATGAACCTAGTATATCTAGGTATCCCCGAAAATTTTGCTTCCAGTCTTAGCTATTGTATGTGTCTCTCGTGCATAAATTAAAGGGAGTAACGGAAAAAACAAATTTTATTTAGTGTACAGCAAATTATCGAAACCAGAAGATTAATCTAGTCAGTTTCTGTCAAGCGAGTATCACTTCTCCCATTAGATTCTTCCCTCTGGTAGCAATTACGTGTACACCAACACAAGTACCGGGGGATTGTTCCATCTTCTCCAATAACCCAGGAATGCTCTGCTACAACATTCAAAGTCATCCTCTGTTTTGGATCTGAAAAAAATGTTCAAATTTTTACAATCACCAAGAATAGCACAGACATGTGAGGAATAGATGGTAGGGCAATCAATAACCATTAGCTCTGGGTATAAAGGACCTGGAACTCAGAAAGAAAGATTTCACTAACCTTTGCAAAGAAGTCCTTCAAGTAAGTTCCTCAACTCTGGGTTCATGTCATTTGGCAGAATTAAAGGGTTATTAACAATCTGCAGAAACAAAATGAGTGATGTTGTTGTAGTCTGTGGGAGAGATAATAAAAAGAAAAAAGAGAGAACACATGCATGCCTGAGTAAGTGCAAAAGAGAAAGAGAAAGAGAGCAATTTGCATACCTTGTCGTATGTATCCTGTAGGGTTTCACCAAGAAATGGATATTTTCCCAGTACCATACAGTACAAAGTAACTCCTACAGCCCATGTGTCTGCAGCTTTTCCATGATATGTTAAACCTGTTGAGGGATTTCATGCATGGTCAAAACTAATATATGCTATGTTCTCTAACTATCTCTCCGACAATAAAGCATAGTTTCAGCTAACGAAGAGAACACTGACCTAGACAGCACTCAGGTGCAGTGAAAACAGGAGTCCCAGGAGAACGGCGAAGCTCATCATCGTTGTCCTATAGAAATAAAATGACTTTGTTGAAAACAGTAAATATAAAACTTATTTCCACAGAGAACTAAACATGATTTTAAAGGTAATTCCAGAAGTGATAGAAAGGCCATAAAATGGGAAAAAGAGAATAACAACAAACAATGAAAAAGTTCTGTTAAAAAACTAACAAAATCTTTTCAAATGTGCATCAGCTACACGAACTTTTAGTGCATCAAACTTACCAAAACAATTACATGTAACCTATCAAATACATGTACATTACCCTTCGGCACTAGCTCATGTCTATGAAAAACTGCCTATTAACAAAATTTGTACTCCAGTCTCGTAATAATTGTCACATGTTGACTTTGTTTTGATCAAAATTTTTAAATTTGCACCTCTATTATTTTAAATATTTTAAATAACTAAATTTTACAAAATATATATCTAAAAGCTACTTCATTCAAAGTTTTGAAAAATATTTGTTTTCATATTTTTATCAATTATAAATATAAAATAAAAATGGGTCAAAGTTTAAATTTGTTGACAAATAAAAAGTCGACATGTGACAAGTTTATTAGGATAGAGGGAGTAGTTCATATAATATTATATCGAAATAATAAACAGTAAAACAGAACAAAATAAACAGGCTCTACCAAAGAGAGAGAGAGAGAGAGAGAGAGAGATGTGTATTTATACACATCTATTACACAATCAAAGATGATTACACTTTAATACTTATTCAAGTCATAATATGACAAAATTTAAAGGTAACGCGGTATCATTACCTCAAACACCTGGCTGACACTATAATCTCCTATCTTCACCGTACCAGTGCGAGTAATCAACAAATTATCAGGTTTTATATCTCCATGCACAATATTCTGTTTTTACGAGAAAAGACCCAAGTAAGCACAGTAAAGATGCTGGTTAACTATTAACAGATGATTTTATTGTCTACACAGGAAACACTCCACATAAAAGGTAAACTTCATGGGAGCATGTGCAAACTTTCCAACCAGTAGTAAGGAAAATAAAGAAGTAAAAAGGAAATAAAATTCCACAAAAACAAAAAATTAAAAGATTTTTGGATCAATAACTTTCATCATCAAAACACAGAGTATCAAACAGGCATGGACATGCTACACATCTGTATTATTGGTATCACAACTAGCCAACTCTCTTCTTCAGGCATGTTGCTTTAAACTGACAACCGTAACTAGTGCATTTGTGTTTACATGAACATGAGCAAACAAGGAAAAAGAGCAAACAAGAAAAAACAAATTAATCTTATCTAGACATGTTCAGAGAAAAACTTTATCATATTTACTAACCAAGCGTTTAGTTGGACATATCAGACACAAAACACACCCTTGATAGAGGACTAAAGGTTTAAAAAAATAATAATAATAACGAAAGAAGAAATGAAATCTTGAACAAAAGTTGGTTCTGAAACCATACATGAGCATGGAGGTATATAAGCCCAGATACTATATCTCGCACATACTTCCTAGCAGTACTTTCTCCAATGCCTCCTGGAGGACCAGAACCCTCGCAAACCCATTTGCCTTCCACATATTCAAGAACTGAACAAAAAGAAAAGGACTAGCAGTCAATAATAAGGTTAACTCAATGACTCTTTAAAGCACATCATTTGGTAGTGAAAAGAGGAAAAAAAAAAAAAAGATATATAAATACCCATGTAGAATTGATCCGTGCTTGGGTCATCAATCACCTCAATGAGATTAACTATGTTGGGATGTTGCAATATTTTCATAATTAGAACCTGCAAGGGAAATGGATAAGATAAATATGGCCACTCATCCAAAAATAAAAAATACTTCACATTTCAACAGCAGACAATTAAGGCAGCCCTCTCCACACAAACCTAGACTCCTTGAAAATTTTCCACCATCCCTCTTTTCTCCAAGGAAATTAACCAAACAGTGTTACAATTCACTCTTTTTTCCCCACCTCTTAGTGGATTGCAAAATACCAATGCCAACATATTAAACCAACTATCAACTAAGTCTTCGGCTCAAAAGAGGCTGAGTTTCTATAAAAAAGATTAAAATAAAAAAAATTGGAGACTGAGTTGCTTTGAATTTATTTTTTTAGAAAAAAAGAAAGAAAACAAAAAAGAAAGAAGGTTGTACAATGATAAAAGCCTTTAAATATGACAGAAAAAAAACCATATTAGATAAGGACAAACGAGTAAACCAAGAACACAATTGATGAGCTCTGACCCAAGCAGAGACCATGCATAAATATGACAATAACTCCTATATTTCTCCCTACTCTGCACAGTTCTTTTCCTCCATTTTTTCCCTTCTTAATACTCCCATGGCGCAGAAGTAAAAATAGCACTATTTCAATAATAAAGCAGCACATCTATTCCCAAATCTACCCCAAGCATTCAATTTTCTGGCTATATAAAAGAAATTAGGAAAATCACAAATTTCATCCTTAAAGATTGTATTGCTTTAATTTAGTCCTTACAGCTGTGAGCTATCCTACAACAAAGTTAGAGAATCTTCTCAAAATTGTGGTTCGGGCTAACCATCATCAAAGAATATCTAAAAAGAAAATGTCATAAGAATTCTATGTGTAGGCATTGCTAGCAAGCAGACAAGCAAAAAAAAAAAAATTTTGGGGGTTGGCAGGGGTAGAGGAGACAAAGAGCTGATAAGAGAAGATGAGAAAATCCTAGAAGAAAATGAAAAAAGAAAAGGAGAAAAATGGAATTTCAAAGTGGGGCCAAATTACATTTTTCAACATGTAGAGAATGAAAGAAGAGTGGATAAAAGAGGTTGATTAAGGAGAATCTAAAATAGTAATTCATAACCTGATGAAATATAAACCCAAGTACTGAATTACAATTTTAATCAAACTTCAAGAATGAAAATTGCAACTTACCCAACAAACTGTGCTGGCACCTATGAACTTAACATGAACCATAAGGAACCAAATAGACTACTCTTATACTAAACAGCAGATATAAATATAATAATAGACTTCATATGTCTCTATGGGAAGTTAGAAAGCTTTGAATCCCCAGAAAGTGCAGAGTCTGATCCAACGTATATATGAATGGTTATATCAGGAAAACAAAAATATAAAGCCAATACCTCGCGAAGAACATCAGTCATTGCAGTCTCTGATGGAGCAACTCGCATCTTTAATAAATGAGACTTATGAAAGGCCTGTGATTCAAATATAAAAATAACTTGTGATTGCAAGGTGAAACCTTAATTTAGGATAAAATTGAAACAGGTCCAGGAAACACAAAATGCTTCAACTTTGCAACTAAACAAATAAATGCAGCTCCAAGTGGAGCCACAAACTAGCCACGTAAATACTGCATGGGAATTGCGTGAAAAGGCGAAACATTCATTCTCAGTTGTTACTGCCATTTTTACATTCAAAGGAAATGCTTCTATATTAAGCTACTAACCTTAATAGCATAGTGTCTCCCATCTACACTGTTTCGATATAGAACCTGCCCCACAAGCAAAGAAAATAGGTAATCTTTTGATTCCTTTATAAAAATTATGTAATGCAGTGTCTTTCAACAATATCCTTACCACTTTTCCATAACTACCAGAACCAATCTTGTATTCCCGCACATACTCATTAATCATCTTATTCCCATTTTCATCCTGAAAATGAAGTCAAGATTTCATAAGAGACAAACACACAATGAAATGAAGATTAATGGTATAACTACCTAAAAAGGAGCACACAGAATATCTCACATGCCATAACACATCCACAAGACAACAATATTAACATAGATGATGTTATTCAGTGACAATGGAGGCATAATAATTCATTTCTACGCTAACCTCTGAGCGAATAATCTTGTTGGTTTCCTTAACAGGAAATTGCCTGCAAATCAATCCATTGTTGAGTTTGAACCTCAAAATCTCTTCAGAACACTTGGCACGGCTTAGAGACTCAACCTCATCTCCATGAGCAGTGCTGGTAACCTCACCATTATATGAACAATCACCGTCTTCATCTATTTCTTCATCTAATAAAAACTCCCTGCAATTGGACCTTGAAAATCGTTTGGGCTTTGCTGTGAAGCCGAAGCAACCACAACAGCCCACAGCTCTAGCAAATGAAAAGCTCTTATTAAACATTAGAACACTTGAAACCTTGTATGTAGAAAATAACAGCTCTCAGCACAATGAATGACAAATCTTGAACCTGCAAAGCAAGCATAAGCTTAGTTCAATAGATCACCAATCATGAAATTGCTCATAGAAATTTCAGATTAATATTAAGAGTAACTTGAATACTTATAACTACTACATATAAACTTGGGCTCCATTGGTTGTTACTTTTACTACTTGAATTTTTTTACGTCATTAAATATTGTTAAAAGTGATATTATAGTTGATAAAAACGTGCAAATGACTAAATTGCAATAGGCATTCAAACATAATTGATCCATTTAAAAGCTAAAATCATGCAAATTTTCAATTAAAAAAGTTTAATTTTTAAATTTTAATCCTCAAAAATCGAAATGTATTGCTATCTGCTTTTGTATTAATTTTCATGAAATATGCATTAGAATTTAGAACTGACATAAACAGATATGATATTACATATCAACTTAGGCTCTATTTGATTCTTGCTTTTGCTAGTATTCGCTATGCTACTTCTTAAAAAGTTGCTAGAAATCAAAAGCAAATAAAAAGTCAAACAAAAAAATAAACAAAGGGAAAATCACATTTGATAAAAAAAATAATTCTCATAAAATATAAAATGATTCGTATAATTCAAAATAGTAAAATAGCATAGCAATAAAAGAAACAATCAAATGGAACATAAAATATAATTAAATTAAAAATACCTGATTTAAAAAAAAGGAAGAGAGATCAACAAAAGAGGGCTTGAAGCCCTAATCAGCTATGCTATTCCAAAGGATGCCATTCAGCCAAATGAAAGGAACAACCTTCAACATTAAACCCACTCCGATTCTCACCCAACATTGCAAAACCTCCACTTTTTTACGTTGATCTTTTTCTTCCCAAATACATAAAAACAATGAATTAAAAAATGACTATTTTGAATTAGATTTCTTCTGTAAAAGATGAACCACAAGAGGACGAAAACGACAAAGAAAAAGAAACCTCCTTAGCGGTTATTAAAAAAAAGAAAAGAGAATCAAATTTTCAAAAGCATATGTAAAATTTGATGAAAGATTTTAGCAATATGAAAACCATCGTTCACAGGAATTTTAATTGTGAAACCTCCATTTCGTTTTCTTTGAATTCAGAGAAATCAGAAATTCAAATTCTAGGTTATTTTTCTTTTTAGATTTTGGAGTGAATTGAGAAAAAGGATGGAGTGGGGTTGGACAAAATTAGAATATAAAATGTTCTTTTAGTTTTTACTTTTGGCCAGTTTTGAGTTTTGCCTTTTGTTTTTTGTTTTTTTTTTTTTAAGGTTTTAAAAGGTAATTTTGAAAACTTTCGGCTTGTTTGATAACACCGTCCAATGACAATTCTAAATCCGACTAGTGCAAATTCCAACAAATTTTATGATAAAAGAATTTTTGTTTCACTTGTAAGTTATCTCATATATATTATAATATATATAATTATCAAATAATAATTATTAAGATAAATATTTACATGGATATTTTTTTTATACGTAAAATAATTTTTAAAATTTTTCACTATGATAACTCACAAGATATTTATTAATTTTAAATTATTAATAAAAAATATTTTTAAAAATTATTAAATTATCTAAAAATTTTAAAATTTAATCAAAAATTAATTTAAATTTTAATAAAATTTATTTCTCATATGCATCACATAATTTCAATTTAAAACTAATTTTAAAGTAATTTATCTTTTTGAATTTATCCAAAATTAATATGAGTATTTAAATTTATCATAACTTTTAAAAATATTATTTAATATCTTTAATATTTTTTATAAATAATCCTCACATTATCTTCAGTTTTTAAATATATTTCATAAAAAAAATGTGAAAAAAATATATAAAAACTAGAACAACTTCAGAAAAATTTATATTATACATTACATCATCTCAATTTAAAATAATTTTAAAATAATTTTTAATTTTTAATTTATCTACAGTATTTAAATTTATCACAACTTTTAAAATTATTCTTTAATGCTTTTAATAATTTTTATAAATAATCATTCCATTATCTTCAGCTTTTAAATATATTTCACAAAGAAAATGTGAAAAAAATATATAAATGCTAAAAAAAAACTTTAAGAAAATTTTTTCTATACATCAAGTTTCTCTTGCACATCATTTTATCTCAATTTAAAATTAATTTTAAAATAATTTTTTTAATTTATCTGTAGTTAACATGAACATTTAAATTTATTGTAACTTTTAAAAATATTATTTAATATCTTTAATATTTTTTATAAATAATCATTGTATTATCTTCAACTTTTAAATGTATTTCACAAAGGAAATGTGGAAAAAAAATATATAAATATCATAACAACTTTAGAAAAGCCCTTATTATTGATAGTTTTTAATTATATAGTTTTCACAATATCCCATTGAACTAAACGTAATTTTTCCTACTATTAATTTAGTCTCTCTCTTTTTATTAGTTTATTCTTGCTATAGGAATTAACATACTTTTTTATGATAAGTATTATTTCACTAAACATAAGTATGCGTTACTATTTCATTAAATATACTATTCACTCCATCAGATAAAAAAAATATGAAAACACATATATTTTTATATTTTTATCGATGTTGGTTGCAAACCTTTTATTTTTTTGTATATTCTTCACTCAATTAGGTAATATATTTTATCTTTTAACTAATTATTTATTCAATATTTTCTATTCATATAAAATAAAAATAATGCTCTAATTAATTAATATAATAAAATTATGTGACCTAAACAGAAACTTATGTGTCGGTTGTATATTTAAAGAGTGAATAATTTTACAACTCACATCCCCATTGTGAAACATGTAACATAATTTCAAATCAGGATATTATTTTTCGTAAAAAAATAAAATTGAAAAGAAATAATTCAAGGATAATCTCATCAGTAGTATTAATTTCAAGTTTATTTATATCTTAGCTTAAAAAAACTTTAGAACCATAATAGATTTCACCAAGATTCTTAAAAAAGAAAATATGAATCTTATGATAATTCTGCAATTATAGAACAGAGAATTCCTTATAGCCTTCAGTAAAATTTTAAAAGAAAACTTTATTTTTATTATGATTTTATATTTTAATTATATTATTTATATGTTACATATATTTTGAATATGTAAATAATTCAATAACATCAATTTATATTTTTATTTAAATATAAATAAAATAAAAATAATTCGTACATCGCATAGATAACAAGCTAGTTTTTTAAATATTTTATGTGTTATATAAATAATATACTTATATATTTATTTTTAAAAATTTGAGTTTTTAATTCTAACGAAACCGATTTTTTATTTTTTTGAGTAAATAATTAATAATTCTAATCAAGTAAAACTTAAATAAGTAGATTGATTTTTTCGAATCAAGCTTACACTTTCAATAGAATTCACTTATTAATAAAATTGGTTTCAATTAAGTTTAATTTTTAAAATGATTTACATTTTTTGAAACAAAATCAATTAAACAAATCTCTTGTTCAATTTGAATTGAATTTTGATTAAGTTTGAAAATTTGGGAATAAAATGTAAATTTTTGATTATACTATGTAAATTATTCAAATTTACAACTAATCTTTCAACTGACTTCATTAATAATTTAATCATTATATTTTTAATTTTGGAACAAATTATCATCATACATTAAATATTAAAATAACTAAAAAATATTAATAAAAAATTTCAAAACTATTTTATAATAAAAAATAATTTTGAATATTCAGTTGGTCATTTTCCTTATACATTTTTTTTTCTTCTAAAGAAAAAAATGTATGATTGCTATGCTTTCTTTCTTCACTATCGGTAGCTAAATATGTTTCACCCGCTTTTGTGTCTTCATTATCGCCATTACTACTTTCATAAGTTGTTTCATTATTTATCATATATTGATAATTATATTTTTAAATATTTTAGTTTTTTTTCCAATCTTTAAATATTTTAGTTAAAATTTATTTTATTTATGTAGAGTAGATTGGGTTTTTCAATATTCCATCATTCTTTTATAATAACTAAATTATTCTTTTGTTAATTGATTTTTGATTCAGTTAACGAATTATTAGAATTGATATTCAAAAATTACAAATTTGAAAAAACTTCATATATATAACATTCTTTTTATTAGATAAATAGTAGAATAAAAGGTTTAAAAGCTTTTTTTTTTGTCATATTTTTTGCTTCTTTCTTGTTAAAAGTTAAAATTTCATTACCATAATATAAACAAACAGAGTTACCTATATTAGATTACTTGATAAAAATGATAGAAAGGAATGAAAATGAAAAAATTATTAATCTAATGTTAAAATTCATAACCATTTTCTTACTTTAAAATTTAACTATTAAATTAACAAAATTTTCATCACCACCCCTTTTCATTCTTCCAACTAAACAAAGTCGTAGTATCATATTTATATTTTGTCGTAATTGTTTAATTTATATATATATACATATATATATATATATATTTTTTCAAATACTTTATAATCATACTAATTGTCAATTCTATCACACCATTAAAACCATGCCTTAAAAGTGTTATATTATTTTTTAAAATTTAGCTTTTATATGTAAATTATGGTTGTGATGTAATTTTCTTTATCTTGATACAAACTATCAATAAATTTCATATAGAACTCTTACATTTTTTGCAAACAAAACTATTGGTAGGTTTCTGTTCTTTTATTTCTTCATCCCCTTCTTCTTTTTTTTTTTTAAGATAAGTAATTTTCCTAAATAAGATCATTCAAAAGGTTCTGAAGTTGAGGGCCTGGATTGCACTGTCCATAGAAATTACTTAGGCCGTCAGGTTATTAGTTATGTCTTGTATTTTCTACATGTCCAAAAATGCTTGTAAAGTGTATAAAGTGTTGTATTACGCTGGTTAGTTGAACTTAACTTTTTCGTGTATTTATAACATGTTTATTTCGTATTAAACACACGTAAATATAAAAATTATTGTAGTATAATTCATGTCAATAATAAGAAAATTTTTTTTATTTTTTATCAAACTCATACAGTTTTTGCTAAAATTTTATAATGTATTTTTTTAATATTTTTTTCGTATCATATCATTATATCATATTTAAAATTATCAAATTGATCTCTACTAATATTTTATTTCTTTAAATTTTTCTAAAATTGTTAAAATTAAAGATAAATAAGAACATGTGATAAGGTTGTTCCAGAGAAGGTTATTTTAGGGAATAACTATTCATAAAACAACTCTTTCATAGAATAGTTATTTACGAAAAAACTATTTAAAAAATAACTTTTTCACGAAACAACATCTTCATTGAATAGTTGTTATCAAAAAACTTTCTCAAAGAACAATAGCAACACTTTCACAGAAAACTCTTTTACTAAAAGTTGTTCTATAAAATATGCTTCTCTGAATGATATTTTACCAAAAGAAGAAGTGAAAATAACCCAAGAATATGACAGGATTCTTATGTTAATTCGAATATTATGATGTTCTAGAGAGTTTGACTTAATGGATCATATATGAAAATAGTTAAAAGATTTCCTCTTAACCTTTCCTTGAAATATAAATGCTTTTCCAATTCTTTCAAAACAAATAGTGAACTTCTATGTTCACTATATCTATCACCAAAAGCTAATTAAACTCTCTTTAACTAATAAATTAACATTTTTTGTAATAGCCAATTCATTCATTATTTATCATTATTCATATTTAATACATTAACACATTTTATAACAGTTAATCTTCCATTATTACTATTTAATACTTAAGATATATAACTCATATTTTTTAAACTTATAAATAGGAGTTTTCACAATTCATTGGAGGGCTTTTAGAGATTTTTTGGCAAACTTACTCACTTTTCTCTACAATTCTCTTTTATTAAATCTTTTTCTCAATTTTATTCTCTTATTTACTCAGCCTTGCTTCACCACCTACCACCATCTACCACTTCACTTAATACTGTAAGGTTTGCTCCAATCTTCCTCTCCATTATCTCCCAACATATCTTGTTTTACTTGTTTACAACACTTATTCACCTCAACAAAGAACCATTTTACATTTTGGCAACTCCACAAAGAAAGAGCGATTGCATTGGGTAGAACTTCACTAGCAATATAATATGAGCAACTCTGCTAGATATAAAAATCCTAATGCCACAAGAATACTCAATGGTGGAGCAATAATGTGGTTAGAACTAGGGATGTCAATTTACTCAAACTTGATAGGGAACTCGATATTTTATCTAAATAAGGATGGGTGTGGATATTAAATTTTAAGGATGGAGACAAGGATGGGTATAATTTTGAAATATCTATCGAATACAAGGATAAGGATGAGTAATATAGTACTCAGCCCGCATCTGTGCCTAATATAT